TTCTTCGTTAGCAAAAAAGACAGGATTATGCCCATGGATTGATTACTGTGGCCTCAATAGGATTACAATCAAGAATCGGTAGCCACTACCACTCATCTCCTCCGCCTTTGAACTGTTACATGGTGCACAGATCTTCACCAAGTTGGACCTGAGAAACGCCTATCATCTGGAGAGAATAAAGGAAGGAGATGAGTGGAAGACAGCATTCAACACACCATCGGGTCATTTTGAGTATCTTGTCATGCCCTTTGGTCTCACCAACACCCCTGCAGTGTTCCTGAATCTGGTCAACGACGCCTTGAGAGATACGCTGAACAGATTCTCCTCTTCTGAGACCGAACACAGGAAACATGTTCGAGCTGTCCTACAACGCCTTCTTCAGAACCAGCTGTATGTGAAAGCAGAGAAGAGTTGCTTTCACACCCAGACAGTCTCCTTCTTGGGCTTTGTTATTTCACCAGGACGTATTGAGATGGACCCCGCCAAGGTCCAGGCAGTGGACTCTTGGCCGACCCCAACCACCCGACAGCAGACGCAGCGCTTTCTGGGATTCGCAAACTTCTACAGCAAATTCATTAAGGACTTCAGCACCATTGCCGCCCCCCTTCATCGACTCACATCTAGCGCCAGATGTTTTGCTTGGACTAGTCAAGCTACGGAGGCCTCTCACTCACTCGAGCACCGGTTCACAAAGGCCCCCGTTCTCACCTTGCCCGATCCCGCCAAGCAGTTCATCGTAGAAGTGGATGCCTCTGAGACCGGGGTGGGGGCAGTGTTGTCCCAATGCCTGAGTACTGACAATAAACTACACCCTTGTGCTTTTTTCTCCAGGCGCCTCACCCCGGCAAAGAGTAACTACAGCATTGGAGAGAGGGAGCTACTGGCAGTGAAGCTGGCCCTGGAGGAATGGCGCCACTGGCTGGAGGGGGCTCAACTGCCATTTTTGGTGTGAACTTACCACAAAAATCTGGAATACCTAAGGACGGCGAAAAGACTCAACCCCAGGCAGGCAAGGTGGGCACTATTCTTTGACCGTTTTGACTTCTTCCTTTCCTTTCGTCCAGGATGCAAGAATGGCAAAGCGGACACTCTGTCCAGACAACAGAACAAAGAGGAGGAGACGCAGGAGCCTGCCTACATTCTGCCACAAACCACTTGCCTTAGTACCATGCAGCTTGGCATCGAGCAGGAGGTATTGGCCGCCGAGACTACTGAGCCTAGCCCCTCCATGTGTCCCCCTGGTCGGTTGTTCATACCTGCCTCCGTCAGACCTCGAATACTCCAATGGTGCCACGCTTCCAGGTTCTCTTACCACCCAGGGGTGGCCTGGTCCTGCTACATTGGCCAACGACGGTTCTGGTGGCCGACTGTTCGTGAGGACATCAGAGAATTTGTAAATGCCTGCCAAGACTGTGCTAAACAAAAATCCTCATTTGGCAGACCCTCTGGACTCCTGCACCTGCTTCCTATTCCCTCAAGACCTGGAACCCATAACACACTGGACTTCGTCACCGGCCTGCCACCCTCCAGAGGTAAAACAACCATACTCACAGTTGTTGATCGTTTCTCAAAAATGGTTCACTTCATTCCCCTACCTAAGCTACCTTCGGCCAAAGAAACCGCACAACTCATGCTTCAGCATGTCTTCCACCCACATGATCTGCCCAGAGACATGGTGTCTGACCAGGGGCCCCAGTTTACGGCATGCTTCTGGGCCGAATTCTGTCACCTTCTGGGCGTTACTGTGAGTACTGTGTCACGGTTCCACCCCCCGACCAATGGCCAGGCAGAAAGACTCAACCAGCAGTTGGGAACTGGACTGCAGCTCCTGTGCAGCTGGGACAATGTGATCTGGGTAGAGTACGCACACAATTCTCTCCCCTCTTCCGCCACAGGAATGACACCATTTGAGTGTAATTACGGTTATTGTTCCCCAGCCTGGACCCAGAAATCCAGATCCCATCCACCTCGGCACTGGTGTGCCGATGTCATTGGACTTGGAGAAGGGCCCACATGGTTCTCTTCCAGACGGTCCAGTCCTACGCCAAGTGGGCCAACATTCACCGCTTTAGGGCCCCCCAGTACAGACCTGGACAGAAGGTGTGGCTCTCCACTCGGGAGCTGCCCCTCTGTACAGAGTGTTGTAAGCTGGCACCATGCTTCGTGGGGCCGTTTCCGATAACCAAGCGGCTCGGGCCCGGGGCGGTAAGGCTTCAACTGCCCCGTACATTGCATGCTCACCCTTCTTTCCATGCGTCCAGGGTCAAACCTGTCAGATCCAGCCCATTGGCTCCTCCCCTGGACCCTCTGCCCTGGCTCTTCCATGGCGGTCCAGTTTACACAGTGCGCCGCCTTCTACGGTCCAGACGTTGGGGCCGAGGTTCTGTCATGTTTCAGCCCCATTCACTTCCTGCAATTATGCTCTTATTCTTTACTGCTTCCTGTCCCCAGCTCACCCTGCATTCCAGGAACTTCATGTCATCATTCAGACTGCTACTTCATCAGTCACACCTGTTCCTCACAGTATATAGCAGCTCCTTACTCTGTGGGGAGCTGCCAGATTGTTCTAAGACTCAGCTAGACTCTTTAGCGTTTTTTCTGCCTGATCATCTGAATACCGACACCCTGCCTGTGCTATTGACCCGAGATTCTGCCTCACCCTTTTTATTGGACTGCTTTCTTGGTAACAACACCTTGCCTGCATTAATGACTAGAGATTCTGTCTTGCCTTCCCTACTGCCCTGCTGGAGATATCGACCCTGGACCAAACCAAGTACTGCTCTCTGCCTAAGCCCTTCAGACTGGTACTATGTATATCTGACTCTGTTCCTGAGGACGTTATTTAAACCTGTTGTGCTATTCCAGCTTACTGGCTCTTTAATCGGGTTCACACCTCCACAGGAGCTGTACTTTCACCCCCCCTGACATGGGACCTGTTTTTACAGTTTCACCAACACAGTTGGCCAAGTGCAGAAGCAACACAGACAATATCCTAGGCTAAATGTTACTTGGTGAAAAAGGTAAGAACTGTGAAACCTAGAGTGTGAGAGGAGAATTCAGAGTGAATTTTTGCTTTTATGTGTCTCCAAGCCATGTTTCTGCTCCTAACAAAAGGTTTTTATTGCCAGTTGAATGATAGTTGGGGAGAAAAGAAGATTAGGCCCTTTTCTATTTGCAAAAGTGTTTGAGGCTGCTCATTTTAACCAGTTTGAATAAAGCAAGAAAGCTCTGCCTACTAAAATCACTTCATATAAGTTACATTTTTAAATCCTGAATGCGTTTTCTGTTCTTCATTTGTCCCTATTTCTCTGTCTGCCTCTCTCTGCCTGCATGACCATAAAACCAAATGAACCAGTTGACTGTTTAGGCTTCGACAGTTCTGGGGGGAATCAGCTGGGTAAAGCGAAGATAAATGTTTTCATAAGCATCAGACTCTGCACAAACGAGCAGGAATTACAGCAGGGCTGAGCGGTGACAATAAGCACTGTGTGTTTGTGTGAAGTGATGTAAAGTTGCAGTTTAATTGGATTGTGAATGGATGATTGTAGGTTTTCTCTCAGTGTAGAAAAACAGGGGTCTCCCTTCCAGGCTGCATGCTGTAATTGGCTGTGATGGAGAGCTCTAATGACAAACTGGGGTGAATGCACTTGAATCATGGTGCTTGGTGGGCAGACAGCAGTCAGACAATGATCCAGCCAGACTCCATTTAAACTTTATTATCTAGACAGTCGTCACCCCATCCATCTGTCTTCAAACCGGGTTTGGAGAATATTCCTTCTACCTCTTTGTCTTTCCACCATTTTATTCTTTGCTTAAGAAACTTTTAAGCCTCCCAAAAATCGTCCTCCCTGCTCTTAACAGTTTTTCACCCTAGGATATCTCTTAAGAGCTGAGATGCTTTGTGAATAACTTTTATCTTTACCAGGATATAGTCCTAATTTTAAGCAGCGATCCTTTGGACTGAGGAAGCTTTGTGACTCTGGCCCCTGGATTCTAAGGCTCCAAGGACAGAGAGTTGTAAATGGTACAGATGATATCAAATTTGTGGTATTGGGCTGTATATAAATAAAGTTCATTAACACACAACTGTCCAGTCACAAATCTGTCTCACCATCTAAGTTGCTGATTCTCAAGCAAAACCTGAAAGTGTTTTATTAAGGTAACTTTCTGCATTTTGTATAACTAGTTCCATATTGCAAAGATAGTAAAATAAACAGAAACACACACACACACACACACACGTGTATGTGCTTAAGCCAGCAACTCAAACTGAAGTGTAGCCACTATTAAATGTCTTGCATTTTATACAGACTTTACTGTAGTTCAGTCTGGCATAGACTCTTGACTAGAAGTCTTGTTAGTTTACATGAAATCAGTTCATCATGAAAAATGTCACCAAAGCAAATAGAAAAGAAGCTTTCATTGGGTCGGGGTTAGAAGATGCTCTGCTAACATTCATCCCTGTTGGGCAGCGCTCTAGCCTAAAATTACTGTGATTAATCACTCTTTAGGTTATTGTTTCCTGATATTATAAACCTAATTAGTAACCTTTGCATTTAATATGCAGTGTTGTTTGCATTTTTCATTTTAGCAACTTTTAGTCACAGATGTCCCTGAATTACTAAATGCTTCAGTAATTTCCTCATATTGGTTGCATTAAGTTCTCATGTGGGATTTGTGGTTTCATTTACATCTTCAATTACATATAGATGAACACACTCAAGGTTTTGTGTATTAAACACTGTGTTGTGTCCTGGAGCATAACAAAACCTGTAAGTTATGATTTAAATTCATTTTTCACAGGGTAAAGTTAACTATTTTTGGGGTGGGGGGTTATTGTGTGCACAATAGAGGTATATACAGTTTCAATGCAGAAATTATTAATGTGCTAAAACATATTATGTGACATGTCCCTGCCTGACTCCTCATCAGATCAGACAGGAAGTCACGATGCCACTATGAAGCCTCTAAACCCGGTTCCTCTCTGTCCTCACCTCCAGGTGTCCTATGTGAAAGCCATTGATATCTGGATGGCTGTTTGCCTGCTGTTTGTGTTCTCAGCCCTGCTTGAGTACGCCGCCGTCAACTTCATTGCCCGCCAGCACAAAGAGCTGCTGCGCTTCAGGCGGAGGCGGCGACATATGAAGGTGAACACACTCTCACATCTGTGATATCACACATTTGCATTTGTTTTTATCTCTCCACCCATCTCCTGTGTGGTGTCTGTAGAGGTTTCAGCTGAAGTGAAAAATGTGACAGAGGTCATTGAATATCAAAACATCTGATAACAGCAGATGCTTTCTACGGAATAATGCATGAATATATAATGGAATTTAGATTCTAAACTTTTGTGATTATTTGTTTGTTTTTCCCCAAACCAACAAACATATAATCCTCTATGTCTGCCTATTATCCACTGTCTGTTTAAAAATACAATAATACAATAGGAAAGGTCAGTAAAGGCACATACTTAGAGGAAGTGCTTATCTTTAAGATGAGGAAGTAACCAGACGCGCTCCGTTTTCCAGTGGTCGAACACAAACGGCTCACAACCGTTGTCTCTAAGCAGCCAAACAGAAGAGAAACAAATAGTTCAAACCCACAAATGTGTTGTTTTTGGGGGAATGAAAGGAAGTACTGCTGTTGTGGAGTATCCTCTGCCGCTGGGCTGCCTCATACTTTTAACAGAGTACAACATCTCTGGCTGGTAGATGGTGCTGAGGCTGTGTCTGGCACTGTAAACACCAGAAAGCAGTCACCGCTCTCCTCCATCCTCGGGCCTCCTGAAAAATTTACTCCATGTTTGATATTAGCTTTGTGCAGCACTCATCACCAGCCAGAAACACAGGGCATCAATGTTTCATGGGTGAAGCGTTGAGCATGATTAAAGGCTGAGCCGCAGAGCAAACAGACCAGGCTCATAACAAATTCACAGTGTAGAAGAGGAGAAAACACAGAAAACAAACGTGGAAACTTTTCCCTTGGTTCTGAAACTTTTGTTTGTGTAAATGCATCATTTACAAGAAACTGTGATGGGAGCTCTACAGTACTTTTTAAGGGGGATGTGTAGTTGCGGCTGTGCTTGTGAGTTATACTGTGTCTCTGTGGTAAGACTGAATCCTGCTTAGTGCCGGGAACATGATCAGTGTTGGCAGTGTCTGTTACTTTTGATAACTCCTCCAAATCAATGTGCCATTACAAGGACAATGCAACACAAGTCTTTTAAACAAAAAGTTTAGTTTTTAATTTCTGACCTTGGAAGCAGCTAAACAGTTGAGAAACCACTCTCACCATGAGGTCCGTTTAGTAGCTGTTTTGGGGCTTTTGATTCCCGCACATGCTTCTCATCAACAGATGGCGCTTGCGCGGTTGTCCGATGCTCAGATCTTCAGTTTACTTCCGAGCCATGCAGGATTAGATGTCGAGGTTTAAAGTTCAACCTTAACCTTGGCAGCAGATTATTATTTTCTGAGGTCGAACTAAGATTGAAAGCTCCAGAACTTGTGCAGAGCTTGTTCTGTCAAATACCATTTACAATTTCAAGGTCAAGAATGAACTTTAATTCCAATGTGGAAGGAAAGTCTTTAAAGAAACATTATCTATTTCTTTCTATTTCAGACAGACTGACAGACTCACTCTGCTCAGTATTTCAGACATCATTTTGATGCTGGGATTTGCTTGTAACCCACTGTCGGTTGGATGCAACCTCCAGAGCTGCCTCTAATAAACTGATAGCTCCAAAGATTGATAGATTTTAAAGCCTTGGTGGGACAGTGATTCTCAAAAGCACCACTGCAACAAGCATTAGAAGTGAAAGCCATCACTGAAACCTAAACTGCCATTGGCTTTGAGAGAACAAATTTAGAACTTTGGAACAAACTTTGGAGGAACATTGGAGCTAGCATCTAGTGGGAACTGGCAGTATTGCACAAGCATCTCCATTCAGCCATTAGCGATGTGCAATACCACTTACTTATACTTATACCAAGGAAGTGCCAAGTTCTTAGCCTGTTACCTAGGACACTAGTTCCCAGTTAGTTTTTACCTGTGACCTTTTATGTCCAACCAGTGCCTTCTCATGACCTCAGTTCACATATTTTTGTGATTTGTGAACAGTTCAACTGAAAAGTGATGTTGGCTGCTTCTTCAATTTGATCATTTTCAGAGGCCTGAAAGGATTTCACCAGGATTTCACACAAAAAGCAGAGCTTGTTAAACATGAACATGTACTGTATGATTCCAAACTCTGTCTGCTTATGAACATTATGCTGTATGATCAAAAGCTCCAGAACAGCTGCCTTTTGTCTACTTTCATCAGTTTCCTAATTATTAATTCATCTTGTGCCACTCAGGGGGCCCTAACCCCAGTTTGGGAACCATTCTTCATAAAAGTCTGGGAGGCACTGTAGGAAAAATGTACATATGAAAATAAAGCTCTCTGAATGGTAAATCATGTTGTTGTAATCCCCAATCCACTGAGCTGTGATGGGAGCTGAAGAGGTAGATTAGCTGCCTCAACACTTCCAGATGAATCAGACACAAACGCTCGCTCTGCTTGTTTACCCATCTCTATGTCTCTCGACTCTCTCTCACCCAAAGAGCAGGAAGAGAGAGAGAGAGCCAGAGGACCAAGGGCTCAGGATTGACCCACATCCAAACGTTCAGAATATTTTTGTCACACTGTTTACTTCTGCTGGTACGATAAAAAGCCGGAGGTGAATCTAGGCCACCGGTCTGTGATGTCATTTCATTAAAAAAAACAACTCATCTGTTCAGTTGAGGTCAACAAGACTTTAAAGCTGCCAGCATTTTTGTTATCAGTGTTTTCAGCTCCTACTACAGAATGGATAAATTCAGGTTCTAGGGTTCTTGCATAACATGATTTGCTTTTGACTGTGAGGTTTTATAATCATCAGAAATTTTCTGTCCGTGCCATGTAGCAGAAGGTGAATGTATATGAACGCACACTTAACCTGCTACTGCTGCTTTTGCACACATGTTAAAATTAAATGTGCTTATAGCACTGTTAATAAACACATCAGCCAGACACAAAGACAGTCTCTACCCCCATGCCATCGCTCTGGTGAGCACTTAACCCATGACTGCATGACTGGACACAGTAACCACCCCAGTAACCACTGTATATATCAGTCTGGAAGCTCTTCTGCCATGCTGTATATAGATGTACACATATTTATGAATACTGTCTCTCTTTTCCTCTCATTCTTTCCATATTTTGAATGCACACACTGTTTACTTTAATTTCAGCTGCTCCCTTTTTTATTCTCCTTGTTATTTTCTATTCCTGTTGCCTTACACCACATCGAGAGCCTCTGTACCGGAGTCACACTCCTGTATGTTCAAGCATACTTGGCCATTAAAGATGATTCTGATTCTGAACCTGTCATGACAGATGTTACTGAAAGTGAAAACATCACCTCAGGTTGGATGAAAATAAACTGAAACTTTGCAGCAGAGAATACAGTCGGTACAAGCTGGATGAATAGAGCTCAGTGGAAGTTGTCAAAAGACAATTACCATGTAAAAAATTACAACAATGCACATGCAGAAAACAATATAGCAGGTACAATGAATTATTCCAATCTGCATCATTAGTAATTAGCCATAACGTGTGCCTGCAGGGTGCTTGAATCACCAGACATTTTTCATTTCTTTTCTTTTCTTCAGTTAGATTAAAACCAAACAGAAAGTAAAGCCATGTGGCTGGATGTTCTGTTAAAAAAATAAAATCCAGTGGGCCCCAAAAGTGTGTTAAAAACCTTTTATGATATTTGGAAAAGCAGGTATTAAAGCACTAGCATTTACAACCAGTGATGACCAGGTTATATTTGGTTCCTGTCATTAAGTAAAACTTCTACTTCTACAATGTAAAATTACTCTATTACAAGTACTGTACATACAAGTGCATTTAAAATTACAAATGTATATCAGAAAAAATGTACCTGAGGTTTCAGAAGTAACAGTAGTCATTATGTTGGATGGTCCTTTTACAGTGTGACTATTACCTGTGTGTCATCAGTGGACGCTCATCACCGATGCTTCAACATATAAGCAAGATTTTAACATTGTAGCTTGTCAAGTTGATTTATGTACCTCTGGGTAGTTTAATCTATAATAATAAATAATATTTTGTATAAAAATAATCTGAAACATTGCTAATAACAACTGCTGTCAAATAAATGAAACAAAAGCAGAATATTTCCCCATGAAACGTAGTTAATTAGAAGGATAAAGAAGCAAGTGCCTCAAACTGTACTTAAGGGCTGCATTTTAATAACTCAAACTACCTCATCTCTTGCAAACATTAAGGAGCTTTTCTGTTTTCAAGTACAAATATCTGCAGACCTACAAGGACACTACGAAGACACTGAGAGAAATTTGAGGTATTTGTATTTGAAGTTGGATTTTGCCAAGAGGCTTGTATAATGTGGTCCAAATGAGGGAGAACAAAACTATTTGGTTTTAAATTCAGCTCCTCTGGTCTTTTTGCTTTATTTCAAGCACAACAACAACAAAAAAAACACACAATAAAATTCATTATTAAAAGTATGAGCACCCCCAGTAAGATCACCACCATTAATCCAACCTTGCCTATGAAATAAGTCCAGTAATGCTGAAACCACAGTGACACCAAGCGTGAGAGGCAGCCCTTGGGTGTCACACATTCTTAATTAACCTCTGTGGCCAGTCCTTCTAATGTGAGTTTAATGTGATCTGCAGGCTGCATTACAGCTCTGACAGGACTATGAGTCAGGCTTCAGCTCGCTGCAGAGGAAACTCACTGCTGGCCTGCAGCATGTATAAACCACCCTGCCGAGGTCACCCCGGTGCTGCCGTCCACTGCCTACCTTAAGAGTAACAACCTGAGACAAGTGCCACAAGGCTGTAGGTGCACAAAGTGACACAGAAGTGAAAAGCAGCTGCTGCTTTTAAAAGAGAGATGGAGGATAGTAGGGGGTACAGTACTGTAGGGTTCTGCTAAGTGACTTAACCATCTTATTCTAACAACGAGTAGCTGTGCCAGATATTGCTAAAGAAGTAACTCCGACTGTGAAAGAACTAATGTTTTTGTTTTTTCCACCGTTTCTTGCTGTATCTCTGAATCAGTCTCTGGTGTGCAAGACCT